CAGAAATGACTTTTTACATCGAGTGAAACTGACTTTTTACATCGGTTCTGGGTCCGATGTAAAGTCAGACGATATAGTAAATCAGGTACCTTTTACATTGGTTCTGGGTCCGATATAAAAAGTCTCTTTTTTACATCGGTTATTGATCCGCTGTCGCGGGCGGACCAAAAACGAGTTATTTTAAAATGCAGTATGGCGACAATGACTCGAGTCGTATCGCAATGATTCTTGATTTTATTATTAACTAATATAAATCTAATGGGGGGTTGGTTTTAGGATCGATTAATAACACGAAATAAGTGATTATCAAAATAAGTTAATCTGCTAATTCAGTTCCTACCTATCATTGATTATTATAACATCGCTACCCTAAGCGGGTACTATTCCTGTTCGATCACAATAACATTCAACAAGCGAGAATGATATTATAAGAATTATATTTCATGTCTACCAAATTAAGCAAACGGTTAAAAATAAGCGAATTAACGAATTAAACAAACGATAACACGCAATGAAAATTAGGGAGCATAAATCAATCGAACCAAACAAAACTATTTTATGACAATCGAATTAAACAAACGATAAACATATAACAGAGTTGAAAGGAATAGAAATTAAATTGCAAAATTATATTAACCTCGAGTATCGGAACATGAATGTAGCATATCAACTTAGGAAATCTTAGCTCTCCATAAGATTCGTACAAAGAAAAGTGTATTTTTTTTCTCTCTAATGAAAAAGGTCCCAACTCAATTACTATAGCGGCTGCTAGGTATAGCAAAGACAGGGATTCGGTTCATAACCCAACTGGGTTGAAAACATAACCCATGCCCAAAACAAATGATCCAAAACTTAAATATAAAATGCTGCAACTTCAACGAATTTTATGGCCCTGCTACAGACCGATTCAGCTCTCGACTTCTGAATAAAAATCGTAGCTTTTTCTCTTAGCTTTCCAAAGACTGGTAGAACGCCTCATTCCGACTCCCATAGCTCAAGTTATGAATTTATTCGTGCAGACTGCTAATGCTGAAAATAAAGTGCGAAAATCAAATAAGAGTAGAAATAAACTAAAATAGAAAAACACTATAAAATACAAAAATAAGATAAACAAACCATGGAAATGCATAAGTACAATCATGAAAGAATGTGCATCAAAATGCACTGATCAAATTCCCCCACACTTTACTAGAACCTCCTGTCTTGATGCCACCCGTCGAGGGAAGACCGCTAATCATGTATCTGACCGTCTTAGAGAATTCAATGGGATGCGTACTAGGGCAGCATGACGAGTCTGGCCGAAAAGAGCACACCATTTATTACCTTAGCAAAAAGTTTACCGACTGTGAAACCAGATATTCACTGCTCGAGAAAACTAGCTGCGCTTTGGTATGGGCTGCTCGCCGGCTAAGGCAGTATATGTTGACTCATACCACTCTGTTGATATCTAAGATGGATCCGATAAAGTACATCTTTGAGAAGCCTGCTTTGTCTGGGAGGATAGCTAGATGGCAGATGATCCTAACGAAATACGACATACATTACACGACCCTAAAAGCTATAAAGGGCAGTGTGCTAGCTAATCATCTGGCTCATCAAGCTGTAGAAGATTATCAATCTATGAAGTTTGACTTCCCTAACGAAGACATCATGACATTGGACAACAGCGAAGAGATCAGACCATATAACGGACCTGAACAAGGATCCCGATAGACCCTGTACTTTGATGGGGCATCCAATGCACTTGGAAACGGTATCGGGGTTGTGCTCATATCTCCGGAAGGATGCCATACTCCTTTCACTGCCAGACTTTGCTTCAACTGTACGAACAACATGGCAGAGTACGAAGCATGCATCTTTGGTCTCAAGGCTGCCATAGACTTGGGAATCAAATCCTTAGATGTGTTTGGGGACTCAGCTTTAGTCATCAGTCAGATCAAAGAAGAGTGGGACACTAAGCATCCAAACCTCATCCCTTACAAAGAACATGTTTTGACATTGTTACCATATTTCGAGTAGATTACCTTCGAGCATTTCCCGCGAGAAGAAAATCAGCTAGCAGATGCTCTAGCTACAATGTCATCTATGTTAAAACTTGATTGGGATAACGAGGCTCCCCAAATCTTCATTGAACGGATGGACGAACCAACACACTGTCACGAGATTAATATCGAAGAAGTAGTGGACCAACCGTGGTTTCATGAAGTCAAAAGGTATCTTGAGGCTCAAGAATATCCTGAAGGAGCTTCAGTCAACGACAAAAAGTTCTTAAGGAGATTCTCAGCTAAGTTCTTCCTAAGTAATGGCATCCTGTACAAGCGCAATCATGATTCTATTTTGCTCCGTTGTGTGGACAAGATTGAAGCTGAAAAGATCATGGCTGAATTGCATGAAGGTACCTTTGACACTCACTCTAGTGGGCATACGATGACAAAGAAGATTCTACGGGCAGGCTATTACTGGTCTACCGTGGAAGCTGACTGCTATAAACACTCCCAGACCTGGCATAAGTGTCAAATCTATGCAGACAAGGTGCACGTGCCTCCGGTTCCTCTAAATGTCTTAACAGCTCCTTGGCCCTTCGCTATGTGGGGAATCGACATGATTGGGGAGATCAAGCCTACAGCCTCCAATGGACACCGCTTCATTCTGGTGGCCATTGACTATTTCACCAAGTGGGTCAAAGCAGCTTCTTTCGTATCCGTTACTAAGAATGTTGTTGCCCGCTTCATCAAGCAGAATCTTATTTGCCGGTACGATATCCCCGAAAGGATCATCACTGATAACAGTACAAACCTTAACAATACTATGATCACCGCCTTGTGCGAGCAGTTCAAGATTCAACATCACAATTCATCCCCCTATCGGCCAAAGATGAATGGTGCAGTTGAAGCTGCTAACAAAAATATCAAAAATATCATACAGAAGATGACAGTCACCTACAAGGACTGACATGAAATTCTACCGTTTGCTCTCCACGGGTACCGTACCACGGCTCGTACATCAACTGGGGCAACACCCTATTCTTTGGTTTATGGCATGGAAGTTGTCTTGCCTATTGAGGTTCAGATTCCCTCCTTGAGAATCATGAAAGATGCAGGTTTGAGTGAAGACGATTGAATTCAAACCCGACTTGATTAACTGAACTTAATTGACGAAAAGAGGCTTACTGCTGTTTGCCACGGTCAGACGTATCAAAAACGGATGATCAAGGCTTTCAACAAGAAAGTCAGACGCCAGATATATCAAGTTGGAGATCTAGTGATCAAGCGTATCATCTTGCCGCAAAGTGATCCCAGGGGAAAATGGACTCCTACCTGCGAAGGACCATTTGTAATCAAGAACATCTTTTCTGGTGGACAATGATCTTAACCACCATGGATGGCGACGACCTGCCACACCCTGCAAACGCAGACATAGTCAAAAGATACTATGCATAAGAGACCCGCTAGGTTGACACACCTAGGAAAAACAAGGGCATCCCGGCGAACCAAAAAGGTTCGGGCAAAAATTAGGGATAAAATATAAAAAATCTGTACACCCGACAAGTTGAAAACCCGAAAGGACGACTTGGGCAAAAAAGGGTTTCCCGGTGGACTGAAAACCCGAAAGGGCGGTCCAGGCAAAAGTTAGGGAATTAAAGCGTATGACTATGTCTCGTCGGATCACTTTAAGGACAATCTCTTCACTGACAAACCTGGAGCTTCTGATCAACCCAATCATCTTTGGACGAAGCAACGAACATACAAGATATTCAGAGATACGAAGGCTATAGCAGAATGGGAACCCCATGGGATTTTTACACATAGCTATCTTTCTTGGTCGGAGAGAGGATTGGAGGGTGACCTTGAGGTCCTCCTTACCAGCAATGATCTTCCTAAAATTGACTGGGTTTATCCTCGTGTAGTGAGGTTGCCTTCTTGTGGGGAGTGTTAGTTGTTGTCCGACGATCCCTAGGACAGAACTGATCAGTATACTTTGACCGGCATAATTGAATTAGACCTCTCGTAAAATTGGGCCAAAGACAGACCCAATCCAAAACGTAAACTAATTGATAAAATTTAATATAATTCTTATATTATTTACAATTTCATTGATCTTTTTTATCACTCTTTAAAATTCAACCTATTCTCTAATATTATAACAAACTCATATATAATCATTATTCAAATAAATTCATTAGAAAAAAAATTCTATAAACATAATCAATTGATCCTCTATATTATTCTTAAAATTCAACTTTTTCTCAAATATTTATTTTACATAATAATTAATCAAATAAAATCATTTAAAAAATACTACACAAATAAAACAATAATTTAAAATTTCATATTCAATTACAATAATATATTATATATGCCAAAAGTTGCGCGATTTATATTCCAGTAACGGTTAAATAGAATAGAACCATAGGAAAAACAAGTGGTTACATGTCAATCATTGCTAATACAACAAAGCTTAAAAGGACATATTATGAAAAACAACAAAATAAAGAAAAGAGAGAATTATTTGAATTATGAAATCCTATTACATACAGGGACTAAATTGAAGGTTTATGAGGATTAAATTGTGTTATTTTTTTCTTAAAACAAAATCTCTTAAAACTTTTGTTCTTCTCGCGATCACTACGCAGAGTCACCTCGAAGTCACAAACACCTTCAACTTTGTTCTCCCTCATCACATCACCAACCCCCCCCTCTCAATTAACAATTAGGGCTTCATCTTTTTTCCTCTACTAATTTCTTCACAGTAAGCGTTACCAATTTTCACTCTTTCATAACCTGCATGCACACAACATGTTTGTAGATTGTTCTCCGTGAATTGTGTTTTTAGAAAAACTATTCATTAATGAATTGGTTGCGCACATAAAAACAATTGCTTTTTGAATCACGACTTTAATTCCATTATTGCTTCTGATTTTTGTGCCTTCAAGGTGTTTGTTGTATGTTCTAAGAGAAAGTATTGATTGTTGTAGTTACAGCTTAGGGAACTAAGCTATGATGGTCTCCAAGGTGATTTTGCAGAAAAGGCTCTTCAGGTTCTTGCAACTGTCACCATCCTTCTTATGCTCCTTTTTATCTTCGTCTTCTATTAATGGGTCTCCATTCCATTCTGTGAAAGCAACCGAAATATTGGGTCATTCAACTTCTTTTAGAAGCTTCTGCTCCCAAAAGTCCAATCTTAGTGTTGAATCTCATGGCCCCGCACCTATTGATTACAGGTGTGCCACGGCACATCCTCTTATGTTTTTTAGTTCATATGTTCTCGTTTGATTCATGATAACTCTATGAACTTTAACTTTTAGCTACTTTTTTAGTTCATATTTGAATAATATTTCTGAAAATCCAAATGTCAGTGGCGATTTGTTAATGCCTTGCTAGCTATTAATGTTCAATGTTGATTGAAATTGATGTTGTGTTTTATTTATTCTTTCAAATGGCTGGAGATGCTTTTGCTATTTGCTAATGATTAGTATGGATGCAGTTCGCTACTGCAGGAGGCTGAATTCCATAGACTGGCTGAGTCCACAATACAAGGCCTTCAAGAGAAATTTGAGGTATCAATTCTCTAGCATCGTTTGTGCTTTATCAGAACTTTAAATTTGTATGATATAACAATCTCGGTTCTGAACATCCATTACAATTTTTTTATTTATTTGAATTTATACATTTCATATTGTTTAAGAGTTTAAACAGTTTTAGTTATTATTTCTTTTACTTGTTACTTGGCAGGATTATGGAGACTCTATTGACCTTGATGGATTTGACATAGACTATGGGGTGAGATTTCATTTTGGGTAGTATGTTTGTTATAGAAGATAGGTAGCAAGTAGCTAGAATTACTTGTTAATAAAATATCCTACAACTTATGTATTTTACAAGGCAACACAGAAGTTATCTTTTTGTATATGATAACTACATAACTTTTTTTTACCGATGGAGCTTAGTATAGTAGTTTGGTCTTTTGAAAATAAAATGCTTTCTTTTCCCTTCTAAGATTTTAAATATTTATTCCTATTAGTTTTGTGAAGCGTCATTCATGTGTAGAAGATATAGTAACTGTTAACATAGCTTTCCTTTTCAGAATGATGTTTTGACTGTCAAACTCGGAGATCTGGGCACCTATGTATTGAACAAACAGACACCAAATAGACAACTTTGGCTGTCTTCGCCAGTGAGGTATTTGATTTTATCTATAGTTTATTTTCTTATTTTGGTTTTACTTTTTAGGTGTGCAGTCTTTTTTCTCAGGTTTTAGTCTCTAGTTATCAGTATTCATATATTACATGGCATGTGAATACTTCATAGAAAAGAAAACTATGATAGCCATGTTTACTTAATAATAATAGGTTATTTTATATGGTAATAGTTGTGTATTTATTAATGCAATCCTGTGTAATTGAAGTCTTTCGCATGTTGGTCTTTCTTGTCTTATTGGTGGAGAAGAAAGTAGCAAAGATTGGAAAGTTTCTAGAAACTTTCCCTTTGGTTTAATCACATTGTTTGAAGTGTTCACTTATAGTTATGGTGGGGGAAACTGGGGTATGTGCAATATTTTATGGCACAGTTCAATTTTCATGTTTTTCTTTAGGAGGAATCTGAGATCACGGAGGAGAGGAGTATCATATTTAATATTTGCAATTCAATTAAAATATAGGTTTAATCTTTTTCATGGAGAGATGTTACTATCTTATTTTATGTAGCAAGAGTTAATAGAAAAATAGAAGAGAGGAATTATTGTTCATAATTGGTTTTGTTAGAATTGAGAGAAGAGAGAAATCTAATTGTAATTCTGTTTTGATTTTACAGAAAATGAATGTTGAAATTACAGGCAAATAGCTATTTGCTATTTGTATTGAGCCGAGGCTTAACTGAGTTAGTTACACTCAGTTACAGCTCAGCACATGGTTGTTGTAACAACCTTCTAGAGCTTTCTAACTAATCTCTTTCTAACTGTAATTTTGTTTTTCTAATTATATGCAAAAAGTGAGTTACAAGCTTGCTACTAAAAGATATGGCATCTGACAGAAGATGAGTATGTGCAGACCAATCTAGTCAGTTTGTACCATAAGATATGGTATCTAACAGTCAATGAATCTCCCTTCAATGCTAGGTTGATTATCTGCTCAATAAAGTAGCCACGTCAATTTTCGATCATAAGTGAAGTGATATTAGTGATGATTGATTGTAGCCACGTCAATATTCTTTTCATTTTGGAGGATGTTAAGTGAAACTTACAAGTAGTTCTCCATCTACTGAAATACTCTTTGAGATGAGCTCTCCCTTTGCGAAAACATGAACTCGATATGAGAGGCATGTTTTTGCGATTCTTGTGCGTGGATCAAGAAAACTGTGCAAAAGGGAAAACCAAGTCACTTAAGTTAGCCATTAGCCATGTAAACCAAAGCCTCTTGCAACTCTGTTCAAGAGCCCTGTTTTTTTTCGCGGGTTCTCCGTTTATGTGATCCATCCGATTTCCATTCTCTATTTGCAAGACTCAGAGAGGTTGGTACGTGTTCTAGTTTTCTATGATACAGCCACTCATCTTCTTTCTTCCACGTGTTTCTGCAAATGTTCTTCCTTCGCGACACTGTTAATTCTTCCTCTCTGTTTGTGCTGTGCTCTGTTTCTTCTGTGTTTGATGTTTCGTATTTGCTATTTGAAGCTATTGTTAATTTTGACACTTCAAATTTCGAACGAATTCCTTATTATGATTCAAAATTAAAGTTAAATCATGTTTACATATTTGCATATATATGAATTTATATGCACATGCATATGAGTTTGCGAAATATATAGGATATTACGATCCATGTAACATTCCCTTGCTTTACGATCTCAGGACCTCATCCCGATCCTAGAGGATCTTAAGTTTGTCTACCTAGCACCTATAAGTGTGATTTATAAGTCTAGGGGGTTCTCCTACTTAGTGGATGATTAGCCTAATGTGCCAGCTCTTCCTTTGGGCTTATGCACATCACAGAGGCCTTTGTATGATTATGAGGCTTTAAGAGTATTGCTATTTATTTACTTTAAGTGGAATACAGTTTGATTTGATAAGGCAATAGGTATAATAATCAAAATGTGATTTTGTATATATTATATATCTATCTCTACTAGTTCTACATTCTCTTGCACCTGTCTAAAAGTCTCCCATCTCTTTTGCAGTGGTCCGTCTAGGTTTGATTGGGATCAGGATACTAAAGCTTGGATTTATAGGCGGAACAAAGCAAAGTTATATAAAATTTTAGAAGATGAGTTGGAGCAGCTGTGTGGCAAACCTATTGTTCTTACCTAAGTTGTTGAAAAGCGGTATCTAATCTTGGTTTAATATTTAAAAAGGAAATAATTGGGGACATTGTTGAGATGATCATTTGAGGCCTTATGTATTTTTTAAGCAGTTTTTGTTCCATTGCCACCACCCTATAAGTTATACCAGTTCTTTTACAGTCATTAAGTGATTGTATCTTCTAAATAATCAGCTCTATATAGAATTCATGTAGAAACATGTCGCCATTAATTTATTGTTCTGCAGTGAGCTTTGTTGTTGCTTACTGCTGGCGAGTTAGCATCTAATTTGAGGTTTAAGTGTGCTTGAGTTAATTTTTTTTTGTAGTAAATGTGCGTAAAACATTTGCTACTTTTGTCCCTATATATATAGGACCATTTTGATCAAAGCATGCAATTAAAAAAATTAATAGGTGTATTAAATTTATTGATAGTTGATACAAAGTTACCCTTCAATAGAGATGATTTGGATTAATGTTATGGCTTCATCATTCCCTTCAAACAATCCTCTGTTGATTTGCTAATCATTTTCAATATGAAATGGTTCCAAACACATAGTAAGTACTTTTGTGAGTACTAGTGTTTTGACACCAGTAAGAAACGACTTCAAAACCGGTTAATAGCTTTTAGCCTTATAGGTGTGTGTATTCCAGTTTAATTCCAACTTTTCTGCTGTGGACTGAAATCAATTCTTAATTTCATGCTGGATGGTTAATTTATTTGAAGAAAAAACACTTAAAGTGTATTAGGACGGTGTAATTAGAAAATTTTAACAAATCTAAAATTTTAAATAATTCAATTGAAATCAATTTATTTTTAAGTGTGTTTGGAAACTCAGCTGGTTGCCAGTGCCGCAAATTTTAAACTATATACGCCGTGTTTTCCAGAAGCAACTAATGCTAGTTTCTATGATTTTGGAATAATAAATTCCTTTAAATAGAAATTTAAACTAAAAAACAAAGACTAACTTGCAATTTTAGAAAATTGAAAGGATTGATTTGTAAATTTCAAAAGTTATTAAAGAGTTATTTGCAACAATTTGAAAATTTTGAATGTGAATTTAATTTTTTTTTTAAAATATAAGAATTATCTTATAAAATTTACAAATTTAATCTTTCCTCTAATTTTATTTATAAGAAAAAATTTACTTTTTAAATATGTTGAATAAATAATATATTTATATAATATATTATCCAAATATATTTTTTATTTAATATAATTAAAACATAAATTTTTTTTATAAATAAAACTAGAAATACTAATAAATAATTTATTATTATATTATAATAGTAACGAAGACTCGTAAATTTGTTGAATTCGTTTTTAGTTTAAACTATTATCTAAATAGTTTGGTCAAGTTCTAAATTTCTTTAAAAAAGTATTTTCCCCCAACTCATCTATAAAAATATTGGTTATTTGTAAAAAAAAATAAAATAAACAGTTTAAAGATAATATATTATTAACATAAAATTTATGTACATTTATTATATTATTTTAATATTTTAAAAATCAAAATAAGATTTATTGTGATGTATATTTTTAAATTTTTTATTCAAAATTAATATTTTACATTATTAGTGTATTTTTTTTCTCAAAGTTAAATTTTACATAATATCTAAATATAATTTTGAGTTAAAAATAGTATATTAACAATATAAAATAATTTTAAACGGTTGTTAAATTGAAAATTCATCATTTAAGCATGCCTTATAATTTATTTAAAAATAAAAATTTAATAACTCTGATTGGTTCTTTTTCTCTATAATTTCCCATATATTCGTTTTCATAATAATAGTGAAAATATTAAAAAATTTAAAATTAAAATCAATTCTAAAAATTATGAGCTAATTTTGTGCTTTGGCCGTAAAACTTCAGTCTAATTGAGTAGCAGCTTCGGCCACCAACCGATTCTCATCCCCGACTAAAATGGCCGCCGCCGCCCCAAGGTTGATCTTCATCCTCCGCCACAACCTCCGCCTCCTCCCTCTCTCCTTCTCTTCCCATTTCCGCCACCATCACCGCACTATCCTTTCTTCCACTTCCTCTCCCTTTTCCTCACTCACTCCTTCTCTCACACACAAACTCAAACTCAAACTCAAACCCAAGGCCTCCCAACATTTTCACACCCAACCTTCATCTTCCCATAGTGGGACCCACCCATGGCCCGAATTCACCAGATTTCTCGCACACATCTCCTCCGCCGGCTACACATCCACAATTCCTCTCGCCGATTCCTTTATTCCTCCTGCCGAATTATCGCAGGCCGAGGTCAGTTCCTGCTTGGCTTTCGCTCGAGATAGACCCAACCTTCTCAGGTATGTGTTTCCGAATTTCATTCTTTTGCTCAATGATTTTTTTTGTTCTTTTTTCTCAGTGAATTGAAATTGATTTCAATAGGTTGCTTTCTATGAGAGACGTTGCGGTTGTGGTTGAACATGCTACTCCCTTTCTGTTCCCAGACTCTGAGGATTCCGTTTCCAAGATGAAGTCTTTTGTATCCAACGGCGATTCCACTGTAAGTGCTATCTACTGCTATATATTCTTCTGTTTTGCTAACTTTCATATATTTCATATATTATTAGTTCATACCTTACAACACTGCATTAGATGTTGTTGAGGTGCAATTGTTTCATGAATAGTTGGAATAAACATCTACTCGAAATTTGTGGTTTCGGTTTCATTTCCTCTTTTCTGAATTATTGTTTCTGTAGACAATAAAGTGAAGCTTGTTTGTTCAATGAATGTTTGATCTGATAATGATTCATTTTCATTTTTCAACCATGAGTTTGTTCAAGAAACAGAAACCTTTCACACTTTCCTACTCTGTAATATTTGTTTTAGGGTGTGTTTGTTTTTAAGATTGTTATATATGTATAACTATTTTGTATTCTAAGTTCTCTGTCTTATTTTTGAAGTATTGTAAGCAATTTTTATTTCGATTTGTCATTAATTCATAAGCATGAAAAACTATATTCCAGGATGGGGAATGGGGTATTACATATTTAGACTACAGGTTACATTTGTCAGTTTCTTTTAGTTCCTTCATCTTGAATCTTCTGGAACAGACTTAGCTTTAGCAATAAGTTTTCTTTTATGTTCTTGCGGCGCTATGCCGGATATACATAGTGGTTTTTGGGCTCACCGCAATGGTAAATACCGGACGATATTGCAGGTTTTTCTGCCATAATTCCCTATAACGTTGCCACAAAGCGTCCAGTATGGCGGGATTTTGGCTTTCCACCATGGACCGCCATCCGCCATAGACAAAACTGTTTAGGAGGGGGGTAGAGGGCTTTAGGAAAAAGAAAGAAGGAAAGGAAAAAGGAAGGAAGGATAGTCCCCCTCCTCCAACCTGAAATGGAGGTTTATTTTTCGTCACAATACAAAATCTCCCTAATATGGAGGAACTCGAAAAATGTATTGGATGTGGGTTTTGGAGGGGCTGAGATAAATTCTTCAAATCCTTTCAATGTTCTTATAACTAAAAAAAATCATGATAGAGCTTTTTTTTTTTTTTCATTCTCTTCAAAAAAACCTCAAATAAGGTGAAATATTTCTATCCCTTTTCCTTTCCTCCCAAAGCTCTTCCATCCCCTCTAAACTCCCAAACTGAGTCTTAAGTTCTGTGGGCTTTTCGCTTACAAAATGTGGTGGTTATTGTTTTTTAACAATATTTACCTCTATGACCATACTCAAAGTTAGTCACTGATCTTTTTATATTTCCTATTATTTGTATCATTTATTGAACACCTTAGCTGCAGAAGAATACATGTGGTGTATAGAACCAGAAATAGAAAGCAATTTAAAAAAATCAATTGGTGGTTGGAAATTCTGACTTTGTAACCTTTTCTTAAATCCACATTTGTCTTGGGTCTCAAATGCCTGAAATGAAGAAAAGTTGAAATTGCTTGAAATCCTGAATATCTGTTTAAATTTCCTTCTCATACTAAACTACTCCCTACATTCTCTTTTATAAGAAAATTTTAACTTTTTAGATTAATTTAATAATTGATGTATCTAACTTATATATAGTCTAAATACATTATTTATTCAATGAATCTAAAAAGTCAAAATTTTCTTATAAAAGTGAATGGAGGGAGGGAGTATTTAGAAACATTATGGATACTGTATGGAACATAACACCTTCTAACACTCAATTTCAACTCTATATCTGTTTATTTTAGAAGCTTTTGATTTTTGCTTGATTTGATATGTAGGCCTTGGACACTAATAAAGCAAATATGGTTGATCTAATGAAATTTTTGCTGAGTTATGCAAGCAACTGCTCAGTCTCTTCAGAAAGGAACAGTCTCTATAACAGAAATCTTGTTGAATCCTCCATCAGAAACCTATTTGGTGAACTTTTCAAGCTGAGTTATAGTACACCTGGACCTAACTCTTTTGATTCAGTGCAAAATCAAATGCCTGGCAGTAGACTTGGGCATACATTGCCTCCTGGACAAAACATTGAAATGAAAAGGGGTGATTGGATTTGCACAAGGTAATTTTGTAAATTATTTCAACTTTTTCTTTGAGTCCCAAGGTGATTGTAAAGCAAATGACGCGGTTAATATTGTTTTACAAGTATTACATACTAGTAGTATTCTGATGAGTTTACATTCCCTTTTTCTAATATTGAGCAGGTGTAATTTTATGAATTTTGCAAGAAATGTTAAATGTCTTGAATGCGAGGAAGCAAGGCCAAAAAGACAACTGACTGGAGGAGAATGGGAATGTCCTCAGTAAGTATTTTCCTCCCTCTGAATCTTTTTCGCTCTAACCTTTGATGTAGACATTCATTTAACAAGATTTTCATTTGTAAGGTGTGATTTTCATAATTATGGGAGGAATGTAACTTGCTTACGGTGTGATTGCAAGCGGCCTGGACAAATATCTTTGGGTGCCACCAATAATACGTCACATCCAGGGTATGGTAATGGAAACAATTATAATCCTTCAAATATTGATGCTAGGTTAGCCGCTAATGAAGAAAAGGCACAACGTTGGTTTACCAAGGTTTCTCAACTGGATAACAATTCTGATATTAACAGTGTAGCAGACGATGAAGATTTTCCGGAAATAATGCCTTTAAGGAAAGGAGTTAATAGATTTGTTGTAAGCACAAGGAAAACTCCATTAGAGAGGAGGTTGACCAATGCTCAATACAAGAGAAACCTGGGAAATAACGACACTCCCGGAGTGGAGGATTTTAGATCTGGGGAATCAGTCAAGTCCCACAATACGCTGGATGATATTCTAGGTCGTTCAACTGGAATTCATCAATATGACTATAAAAATATGGGTGCTGAACAAAATTTTAGTAGAGAAAGCTCACCTTCAATTGCTAGCAATACTTCCAATTTCAACGATGCTAAAGGAAGCAACACTACTACCCTTCCCCCCTTTCCATCATACGCCAGTTCTGGTGACACTGACAGTACACAACTTTCTAATAACTCTTCAAGTGAAAATATCATTAAGGATAAGGAGAAAGAGCAAGCTGAAAAATCTGATAGATGGTTTAGAAAGATCGCAGAGCTGAATGATGTTCCAGATATAACAAGTGCAATATCCGATGATGATTTCCCTGAAATAATGCCGATGCGTAAAGGAGAAAACAGATTTGTTGTTAGCAAGAAAAAAGACCGGTCCTTGACAACACCGGCATATAAGAGACGTTTGGCCATGGAGCAATCTGGCAATACCAACTTTGTCCCTTTTGTACCCTTCCCACCAGATTACTTTGCCAAAAAGGACAAGCCACAGGCGGATGGAACACACTCAACAGATAAGTCCAATGTTGAATCATCCTCAATACCTGAACCGGCTGAGACGTCAAGTGACACTAGAGCTAGACCTGAACAGAGGCCAGAACCTTCTTCTGATCATAGTTTAAATAATAATAATAATCATGTTAGCTCTAGCTATGGGGCTACAAGTAGTGGAAATTCAAACCAGGGTTTTAGTCTAGATAGTAATCCGAATTTGACAGAGAAGTCATCCGCAGGCTCGGCATCTGAGAACCAGAGTGTTGGAACAGAATGGACAGGGAAGAGTTTAGAGGGGTCGGCGGTCAGGGAACCTGATCCTTTGGACATGTCAGAGGAGGCGAAAGCAGAGAGGTGGTTTCGTCGTGTTGCACAGATAAAGGATATCTCTGAGCTCAGTCAGATTCCAGATGAAGATTTTCCCTCAATAATGCCCATGCGTAAAGGGGTGAACAGATTTGTTGTGAGTAAGAGGAAAACACCATTGGAAAGGAGATTGACATCTCAGCAGTACAGAAGAAATCTTCCAGTTGTGAGCTCAGATCCTGTTAAGAGAGAAAATGAAGGTAGCTGAAGAATAGTGCTGTTAGTGTTTAATTTATTTTTCAAGGTCTTTGTTAAAGTTTACAGGCAGTTATACAAAAGCAAAATGAAGATGATGGAAAACATTACCAGTGAAACATTCTGTTGTCTAAGTAAGATGTAAATTTAACTATTAAACTGAGAAAAATTAAGACTGTTTTTCTAGTTTTGAATGAAATTTGATATTTTGGTTAGTGAGTTTGAACAGTGATCGGGACTTTATGAGTCTATTGGGATACTAACTGCAAGTATACAGTTTAGTCGTTCTAGTTTTAAATGATTATCGAACCCACAGAGACTGAGGATCAATCGCATACGATCTAATGTTACAGTTTGTTTAACTAAGTGATGAATATTTGATTTTAGGGGAGAAATAGTTTAATTAAAAATAATAGTAATAGTTATACCGGTATGTGATAATCGGACTTCGGGAATTCGGTGAATCGCTTGGCCTATAAAGTATTTCGGTAAAAACTAATTCTTTAAAAACCTGAGACATACACTCTCGTGTTCATGAAATAAGTCATGCTACTAAACCTAGTGGATACACTTTAAATTTAATAACACTTTTTGAAAACAATTTGAGTTTAATTAATTCATTAAAACACTCTCGTGTATTTAAAAATTAATGTTTCGTTACCACTATCTGGGTTGAACCCCAGCTCTCGCATGCAAGTTCTTCTCTTAATTAATTTCCCACTCTCGTGGCAAAATCGTGTTAATTATCCTCTCACTCTCGGTACAAATAATTTAGCTGGACATAATATATTTAATAACTATGCAATTCAAAATATAATCCATAAAAATAATTGGCATAATACAAGAATGAATAAATATTAATTGCAATAAAAACCTGGAAATAACGTTGCTATGGTAATCTTGGATGTTACAATATTCCTTGCAGCTCAATCAAAATCAATAAATTGTGTTAATTCTTAAATGAAGAATTAACACTCTAAAACTAATGCTTGAAATAGTGCTGGAAGTAGAAATTACAGTACGTAGAAAATGTTCAAAAACAAGGAAATAGAAATAATTGCAAAAAGTAGTAATTTTGTTCTGGGAGAATTTCTTCGACCCTCATCCCTTTGCACTACCACATATATATAGGAGAAAATATAGCAGTTGAAAGAATTCTGGGAAAAGGCTTGAGTGGAGGAAATATAGGATGCATGGTTACTGAGTGGAGGGAATATAGGAGAACACTTCTGCCCTCACGTTGCCCACGTCTCCACTAATTCACAACGTTCATCTTTACGCGCGTGACGGCCGTGACATGTGGGTGACGGTCGTAATGCGCTTGAATAGCGCATTACGCTCGTCAATGATGTGTGACGAGCGTTCTTCTAGTTGGGGATGCGTTACGGTTGTCACAGGGTGTGACGGTCGTCACTGCTTCAAAATCTCCAAACTTTGCAGATTTGGTTTTTTTCTCTTCTGTTTATTGTTTAGCTTCCTTCATGTAGTCCTTTTTCATTGGTTTGAGTTGACAAATGTTGTACCTGTGAAAAGACACAAAAACTCAGGATAATCGGGAGTTAGACGACTCAATGTATTATAAAATCGGTAAAAAGCGTAGTAATTATATGATACGATTTCTCATTATCAAATTCCCCCATACTTAAAGCTTTGCTTGTCCTCAAGCAAATAGTCATTCGAAAGGTCGGACAAGTTTTGTCAAGCGCATATGCATGACATACCTTGGATTTTTAAAGCAATTTCGGGAAATCCTCGTCGGTTCGGCCAATACTTGAGTGAAACACTAAAGATACGCTAATGAAACAAGCAATAAGCTTAGTCGTAAGCTTCCATTTCAAACGAGCTATCCAACAGTTTCGTTATAATTCTGCCCATAGTTCCTCGTATCTATTTCACCCGGTTTCATTCTGGCGCAATCACATTAAGCCCTTTGTCTTAGCACGCACGTAGTGGAGTAACTGGTTAGTGACTTTGATCCTTTTAGCACGGGGTCTGGTACACGAATGTGGTAATCCTACATATGTTATCCAAGTTGGAGGTTGTGGGGGATCGGGCCGTAGCACGCCCTACCGAGTTCAGAACCAGATACCTCTGAACCAATCAACACTGGATTCCTTCGTTATTTTCTCAACTCTTATATGTGACCGTATATTTTGGTGCACAAAATTTCTTTTCTTTTATCAGCGAGATAGGAAGGATATTTTAATGATCAGGCATCAAACACTTATATTCATCGATTCTCCACGTGGTTCGTGTCAAGACGGTGCTGACTGCTAGTATAAACTACTAGGGGTTACTGTAGAACTAAAAACTCTAGATGTCGGTATAATGGTTATTGAAACGGATCGCGTAAGTAGGAAGTCTACGGTGTCATAACCGTATCGATCTTGTTATGTCGTTTTCGGCTTTCCTAACTGGAGATTTCGTTAAAATAGGTATGTCGGGCTAATGCGAAGATAAAATTTTTTGGTATGGCTAAATAAAGTGAAAAATTTAAATCGAGATATATCATAAAAATTACTAGTTTATAAAGGATGGAAAGGTACCTCTCCCACACTGAATCCGACATTGTCCTCAATGTTGCGGTATATAGGCGGGGAAGTACAATTACAAAAACAAACGGAAAGGAAATGAAACAGAAAAAGTAATAAACTACATAAAAAATAAAGAAAAACTACTGGTGACCACGTCCTCTACTCCTGGTGAGAGAGCGTCTGGTAGGAGTGACTTCTATGTCAGTATCTTGGAAACCAAGGGTGCTGACGTCTAGCCTTAAGGCATTGAGCTCTGACAGGGCCTCATCCAACCTCTCATTCATGTTCCGCTGCCCAGTCAAGATTTGAGCGTTTTGAGCGCATAGATACTCATATTGCTCATGTTGTCTTCTTTCAAGCGCTGCTCTCATTTGATTTTGCATATGAATGACGCGGAGAATGTCTTCAAGATTAATAGGAGGTGGTGCAGATGAAGGTCCTGGAATGTCGTGGACGGGAGGAGCACTATCCAACTCTTCTTGCATTTCGTCTGCGGGGGCTGCAGGTTGGTCTTCATGAGTAGGTGCACGCCCCACAGGAACTGCAGGATCAAACAACCAGTTAGCTCGGTTTCATGGATCGATTCGGTCCCTGCAAGGCAAAATGATGTTCTAATAAACAGTATTCTTGATCATAGGGTGGAATCTGCCATCCTCCCGCTCATAAATGAGATGTGCGGCCTTGCAGTGATCCAAAGTTAGCAAAGCCGGTGCCATAAAAGGCATAGTCGCGAGAGCAGCATCATAGTTCAGACCTATGGCAAGTGAAGTGACCAGCCCTCCGAAATAAAAGGGTTTTCCGCCTCTAGCACAAATAGAGTGGATGTGAGCCAGTAAGAACGGGGCAGCGTTGATCTTTTGCCCTGTGAACGCGCAATGCATAAAGAAGAGCTCCTTGGAGTTGAGCTTGTGGTTGCTGTCACGGGCGAAGATTGTGTTGCTGAGGATGCGGTGGAAATAGCGGATGGCTGAATTATGAATGTGGGTGGCATTTAGGTGGTCGTAGGATCCGGCACGGATATTCGTCAAACTGTGCCATAAGTTGAAGGCTTCCTTACCAAAATTATCCGGCACCCGGAGATGGACACCTTCGTCTGAACAGAAGCCTAAAAGCCGCGCGATGTCGGATTGGGGAAACTCGTGCTCAATGCCAAACATGCGAAATTTGGCCAGGCCTGACAGTTGGTTTGTGGCACCTGGCGGAGTGATGTAAACAAAGGAACTCAAAAACTCAAGAGTAAGAGTTTCATAAATTGGTCTTGGTTCGCGGCACAGGTTCCATAAATCCACACTCTGCAACAATTGGCGGACACTGTCAAGTAGTCCCAAACTCCTCAAGCAGTCAAGGTCAACATACCGTGTAGGTTGGAGACCTTGGCGTTGAAACTTCTGAAATTTGATCCGTTGAGTTTCTCCTTGTTCGCCGGATCTGAAAGTGAGAGCGGGAGCTTGTTAGTTGTTGGCCATGGTGTTTGTAAAACGGATTGAAAAAGGTTTGGAATGAGAATGGGGTAGTGGGTGGATGGTATTTTTAGTGTTAGAAATTTGGAAGTTTGAAGAAAAATGGAGTGGAGTGGGTATGTAATGTGATTTTACAGTAATGGAGGAAATGTGGTGAAGAAGACAATGGTTGGAACGGTTCTGTAATAGCCGTTCTGATATATTATGCGCGTGACGGTCGTCACGAGGGTGTGACGGGCGTCATACGGAAAAAACGCGCGTTACATTCGTCACGAGGGTGTGACGGTCGTAACACGTTCAATTTCATTAATGAGAAGACCGTTACAAGACCGTTACGAATGTTTATATAGTTTTTTTTATTATTTTCTTAATATTCTAAGTTTGAAATATTCTAATAATTATAGTTTTGAAATATTATTTACTAACACATAATGAAATAATATTTGCGTGGAATATAAACAGTAAATTAAAAGAAAAAAATGTACTGAAAATGAAAATGAATGAAAATAAAATAATAGAAACTTGGTACTTGATAAATAATTGAATTAATCCATAAAAATTGTTTCGAAATAACTTAAATAATAAAAATGATAAAATGCTAGAACAACTAGAATCCTCCCCACACTAAAACCAAACAGTGGCCTCACTGTATGTACAAATGCTAGAGAAGAATAAATCAAGATAACAACGGCAACTCTAGCCACGGGGAGTAGGGAACATATGCTGGTGCATGAAATCCAGCTGGTCGGTCACCAAATCCATGAAAGCGATGAAGTCCACTCAGAGAGATGTAAGCTCGCCCCACATTTCAGTAATTTCTTCATGCAAAGAGTGCAGGGTAACAGTAGGTAGAGGCGGTGGTGGGATCTCTGGAGCCTGGGTGGCGGTCTCAGTAGAAACTACCTGCTGCTCCCATGGATCGGGGAACTGATGGTATCCCGGTGGTGTGGCAGGGTCTTCAGCATCGTGAGAGGTGTTGGGTACTTCGTAAATGTCAATAGTAGAAGGAGACGAAGGCG